AATAAAGCTCTCCACTAAGTGACACCAGTCACTGGATGAACCCAAAGTCAGCTGTGTGGTAGCACTGGACATTGCTGGTGCTTTCGATCGGGTGTGGCACCAGGGCCTCTTAGCAAAACTTCAAGCTCTGGGAATTGCAGGCTCTACGCTATGTCTCCTGAGTGATTACCTTCATGGTAGATCTCTAAGTGTAGTTCTCAATGGAACGGAATCAGCAAGACATCCTATTGGGGCAAGTGTTCCACAAAGAAGTGTTCTGGGACCATTGTTATGGAATGTCTACTTCAACGACCTTCTTCATCTCATCCCAGAATTACATGCATATGCAGACGACTGTACACAGACATTCACTTATCCAAGAGAAGAAATGTCAGCTGCTCTAAGCTACATCAATCACCAGCTAAGAGCTATATCAGCTTGGGGAAATAGATGGCAAGTAACATTTGCACCTGAGAAAACGCAAATGATGATGATCTCTAGGCACCAAGATGGTAATGCTGGTGCAGTAGTAAGGATGAATGGGAGGGTGTTGGCACCTGGAGAAGAAGTTGATATCCCTGGGGTGAAATTTGACTCCAAACTGACCATGAAAAACCACATTGTAAATTTTGCAAGCAAGGTAGCCAGGATGCTTACAGCACTTCGTAGTATCTCGCACCTGCTTGACAGCAGGGGTTGCAAGATTTTGTACGAGGCACAAGTACGCTCACACCTTGAGTATGCTCCACTTTCTTGGTTCACCTGCCCCCCCTTCTCATCTGCGACTGCTTGACAGAGTAGAGAACAGAACAAGACGTTTCATCTCTCGCCTGGACCAATCCTGGATAGATCTGCCATTTCAGTAGAGCCTTCAACACAGGAGGGATGTGTGTGGCCTTACTGTTATGTACAAGGCCAATATTGTAAAAGTACCACACTTGGATCCACTTCAAGGACAGCGTGAAGCAAGTTTCTGCACCACAGGACGGGCAGAAAGCAGCAACTTCACTCTGGCTGCACCCTTCTCCAGAACATCACTTCATCTGAGATCATTTATTCCCAGGATGACTCGAGTCTGGAACACATTCGTACAGCATTATGATGTCAACGAGATGAAGTCAGTTGATCAGATGAAAATGCTGTGCCACAGATGGCTCCAACTTTATCCTGTTCCTTACTTGTATATCTCATAACTATAAAAATACTTGTACATTTCATAACTATTTATTTATTTATTTATTTATTTAGTAATTTAAGCATACATACAGAGGTACAAAAAATATAGGTAAGAGCAGCATGCCAAAGCCACTTATATGCATAGCATTACGGGCTGGCTTAAAATTAACTTAAGATTAACTAAGCAATGATGAAATCAGTGATAAAACATTATTGTAAACAGATAACTATAAAGCACAAATGAGTATTACAAAGACAGGTCATATGGTTACTTGCATTGCTGTACATTCAGTCGAATGGAGTATTCTGTTAGGTAGTGTATTTAAAAAAATAATAAAGTTAGATTGGGTCCTAGTTTAACATTTGTGTGATATAATTGTGAGTAACATATAGGATATACAATTTATAAGGTTCAGTTATTCAGTATTTATTTGGTTTTGAGTGAGTAAGTGATCTTTGAGAAGAGACTTGAATTTATAAACGGGTAGAGTTTCTTTTATATTTACAGGTAATGAAATTCCAGATTTTTAGGGCCTTTTATGTGCATTGAGTTTTTGCATAGCGTGAGATGGACACGAGGAACATCAAAGAGTGATCTGTGCCTTGTGTTATGGTCATGTGTTCTGTTGAGGTTGGCAAGGAGATGTTTGAGGGGAGGGTTAATATCAGAGTTAAGTGTACTATGTATGTAATAGGTGCAATAATAAGTATGGATGTTTTGTATGGTGAGTAGGTTGAGTGTTTTGAATATTGGTGGAGTGTGTTGCCTGTAGTGAGAATTTGTTATCATTCTAACTGCAGCCTTTTGTTGGGTAATTAGTGCTCTGAGATGGTTAATTGTTGTTGAGCCCCATGCACAAATTCCATAGGTGAGATAGGGGTAAATAAGAGAGTGATAAAGGGCCAGGGGGGCTGACTGTGGACATAGTACCGTATCTTCAATAGTATGCCTACAGTCTTGGAAATTTTCTTAGAAATTTGTTGTATATGTGTATGAAATTTGAGTCTATTATCGAGGTGGATTCCTAGGAATTTTCCCTCTGTTAGCTTTGTGATAGGTGATCCGTTTATTGTTATGTTAAGAGGTACATCTGTAGCTCTGTTACCAAACTGAATGAGGTAGGTTTTGTCAATGTTTAGTGTAAGTTTGTTAGTCCTCATCCAGGTAGATATTTTCTGTAATTCGGTGTTTACAGTATTGGCTAGCGTGACTGGGCTCGGGTGAGAGAAGACGTATGTAGTGTCATCTGCAAATAGTGTGGGTTTGAGTAGTTGCGAAGCATTTGGTAGGTCATTTATGTATAGGAGAAAGAGAAGAGGGCCAAGGACACTTACCTGTGGGACACCAACTGTAATTGGCTGTGCGGAAGAGCTTGCCCCATTTGCGTACACATATTGGCTTCTGTTGTTGAGGTAAGACTTGAGGTAGTTGAGGGAGTGCCCTCTAATACCATAGTGTGACAATTTTACGTGGAGCAAGTCATGGTCAACTGTATCAAAAGCTTTACGTAAGTCAATGAAGATCCCCAGTGGGACTTCTTTTTTCTCTATTGCAGTGTATATATGTTCTAGCATGTGTATAATAGCATCATTAGTATTTTTATTAGGCCTGAATCCAAATTGGCAGGGGTTGAGAATGTTTTGGGAGATGAGGTAGGAGTAGATTCGTTTATGAATTAATTTAGGAGAACTGTAAGGAAGGTGGAGGATTCAATGGATTTGTTAAAGAGTGTTGCAATGATTGGTGATAGTACTTGTGACGCTTTTTTGTATATAAAGGGTGGTAAGGTATTTAAACTTGTATGTTTCATAACAATAAAAATGCTTTCAGATGAGCTGATGTAGGTAACAGCTCTTAGCTTGTCAATAAAGTTAGAAATCCTTAACCTGTAAATAGCTTGCCAATAAAGTTAGGGATCCTTAACCTTGTCAAACCCTGTGTGTGGAGAGAGAGAGAGAGAGAGAGAGAGAGAGAAAAGAGAGAGAGATGTGTGTGTGAGAGAGAGAGTGTGTGAGAGAGTGTGAGAGAGAGTGTGTGAGAGAGAGAGTGTGTGAGAGAGAGAGTGTGAGAGAGAGTGTGAGAGAGAGAGTGTGAGAGAGAGTGTGAGAGAGAGAGTGTGTGGAGAGAGAGTGAGAGAGAGTGTGTGAGAGAGAGAGTGTGAGAGAGAGAGTGTGTGAGAGAGTGTGAGAGAGTGAATGTGTGAGAGAGAGAGTGTGAGAGAGAGAGAGTGAGAGAGAGAGTGTGTGAGAGAGTGTGAGAGAGAGTGTGTGAGAGAGTGAGAGAGAGAGAGTGTGTGAGAGAGAGAGTGTGAGAGAGAGAGTTGGTGGAGTTGAGAGAGAGAGTGGTGGAGAGAGTGTGTGAGAGAGGTGTGAGAGAGTGTGGGGTGTGTGGTGTGTGTGTGTGTGTGTGTGTGTGTGTGTGTGGTGTGTGTGTGTGTGTGTGTGTGTGTGTGTGTGTGTTTTTTTTTTTGTGTGTGTGTGTGTGTGTGTGTGTGTGTGTGTGTGTGTGTGTGTGTGTGTGTGTGTGTGTGTGTGTGTGTGTGTGTGTGTGTGTGTGTGTAACGTCCTGAGGGATGCCAGTTTCTGTTCTTGATCTCAGTCATCTCCCAGCCACAATAGAATTGAAGTGTACCAATTACAATACGGGATACATGATGTGACCATAGTTACTATGGAGACAGACGCTTGTGATATGCAAGAATATGCTGCCATTCTAACATACAGGAGGGTCCCACTTTACAGCACTTCCCTTGATGGCATTTTGCTAATTCAGCAGTTTTTAATTATACCCATTCTTTATTTATTCAAAATTCCTTCATTAAATATATTCACCACTCATAAGCTAAGGATGAAAATATTTTAAGGTAAGTAATGTGGGTACTGTATATGCATTTTTTAGGCCTAGCTCACTTTGTAGTGATTTTCACTTAACAGGTGTAACCCAGTCCCTAACCTGATGTATAAGCTGGGCCTTCCTGTAATTGCTTTCACACAAGTATACAACAGTATTATTCGGTCTATTCTCACACTAGCTGTATGTGAAATCAGATCAAATATACATTAAAGATTAATAGAGAAAATGAGTGTACTTTAAGTATTGTTCATTAAGCATGGATTCCTCTCCTACCAACTGTCTGATCATTTATAAACAAAGCAGTTTTTAAAGAACTCTCAGGACTGCAGTGAAATATTGTAGACTGTTATGTGATTGTTTGTAACCCAGCATCTAGGGTCAGTGTAAACCTTGAGTGCTTCAAGTCTCTCAGCTATGTTAGCATCGGTCACATGGCATATCAAAACATATAACATTGTATATCATAACATACTTGTATAATATACCATCTTGTCACTAATCCAGGTCAATCTGCAGTCATGACTTCGAAAGAGATGACAGAATGGTATCAGTATCTGTATGCAAATAATAATGATACTATTATGAAATGGGTTATATGACTTTGATCATAGGGCATATCCACATGCCAACAGTTGCCTGAATCTTCCCTTAATGACAGTACATAAGCCCTGAAAATTTAAGATTGACCAAATGAGGCATTCTCATGTTAAAAGAAATTACAATGACACTTAGGAGGAAAAAAAAAATCTGGCAACCATTTAAAGGTGCCCCTTCAGGAATAACCTTAAAAAATTATACAACACACCCTTCCTCTATGGTGTATCATGGGAGATTGTGTTTTTAACTCATGTAGAGTATATTTAAGTGTTTCTGGGAGTTTAGCAAGTACAAGTACTCTACAACTAATATGCTGATTTCAGTTGTAATAATGATAAAGAACATTATTCTATATGTAAAGGCTGTTTTTGTAACTAAGGCATTTTGTTACTCAGATTGTTCGAGCTGATATCAAAGACCTTAATAATGAAGACCTTGATGGAGCTCCATTGGTTTTGTACCCTTCTGTGATTCCCGCAAGGAAATAGAAGGTTTCAGGTAAGTTATAATGAAGTATAGCAGGTTGTTCTTACTGACAGTAACTCTATTGTATCTTGAGAAACTTGTGAATCCACTCGAAATATTATGACAGTACAATGGAACCTTGACTTGCGAGTGTCCCAACTTATGAGTTTTTTGAGATACGAGCCATCCCTGGGTCGATTTTTTGCTCTGAGTTACGAGCCAACATTTGAGTTATGAGCCAGCTCCCCCCGTCCTCCCCTCTTCCCCCTCAACCAAAAACCTGGACACCTCTCTTGTTTTTTCTATGATTTCATGCTTTAATTCCATGGAAATCATTCTCTTTTTCTTCTCAGCAATAAAAAATAATATAATAATAATAATATTACAGTCAAGTCACTCAGTAAGCCAGTCAAGTCAGTAAGTCAATTAAGTCATTCAATAAGTCAGTTAAGTCATTCAATAAGTCAGTCAAGTCATTCAGTAAGTCAGTCAAGTCATTCAGTAAGTCAGTCAAGTCATTCAGTAAGTCAGTCAAGTCACTCAGTAAGTCAGTCAAGTCATTCAGTAAATCAGTCAAGTCACTTAGTAAGACAGTCAAGTCACTCAGTAAGTCAGTCAAGTCATTCAGTAAGTCAGTCAAGTCACTCAGTAAGTCAGTCAAGTCATTTAGTAAGTCAGTCAAGTCACTCAGTAAGTCAGTCAAGTCATTTAGTAAGTCAGTCAAGTCACTCAGTAAGTCAGTCAAGTCACTCAATAAGTCAGTCAAGTCATTCAGTAAGTCAGTCAAGTCATTCAGTAAGTCAAGTCACTCAGTCATTCAGTAAGTCAAGTCACTCGGTAAGTCATCATTCAGTAAGTCAGCTACACAAACTCATGTTAACCTCTTTTTCTTTATACAAAGTAACACTTCAGTTACGACTACAGGTTATCTCTTGTCTAATTTTTTTTTTTTTCAACAAGTCGGCTGTCTCCCACTGAGGCAGGGTGACCCAAAAAAGAAAGAAAATCCCCAAAAAGAAAATACTTTAATCATCATTCAGCGCTTTCACTTGTCTAATATCTTTGTTAATTCTAAGACGTAAGTGCTTATACCTCTTTGTGCCACTTTCAGCACCACTAGTATGGCTACTGGGTATCATGATTGCTTGGCAGATACAAGATATTTTAATTAAAATATCGTAACACAATTGACAAACACAGCTGCCTTGTAGCAGAGAAAGACTGGACACGTCTGAATTACAAATGCTGGGATGGTGGGGGGTGGTGTCAGTTAGTGGTAGGGAAGGGCTCCCCGGCTGCTCTACAACGAGGCGGCCGCTTGAGCAAAAGAGAATTTTTATTTTCATTCCCACATACTGAACCATGTTAAATTAATTATACGACGTGTTATATAAAATTGTGCAGCAATTCTTCCATGGTGGTCTACTGAATTATTATAATAACAATAGAGCTTCAGTTCCCTAAATTAATAATAATAATAATGATAGAGCTTCAGTTCCCTAATTAATAATAAGAATAATAATATAATATGTACTACTACTAATATAAATAATATTACTATTATTATTATAACAATAGAGCTTCAGTTCCCTAAATTAATAATAATAATAATAATAATAATAATTATTATAATAATGATAGAGATCCATTTTTCCTAAATTAATAATAATAATAAAATAAATGCATAATACGTAAGTAATAATAATTCAGAGTGCTTCTGCTAGTTGGCGCAGCTGGTAAGCATTTAAACATGTTTACATCCTGTGGGGACAGTTCTCTGTGTTGTTTGCATTTTTTTTAACAGTCATTGGCCAAATTTCTTTTTTCTAGCCAGGGTCCTAGTGATCTACTGCCCGTTAGCCTCAAAAATACTCTGTTCTCTCTTTACAATAAGGACGGGGGAAGATACTATAGCAAATTGGGACAGAAATTTGGGTGACACTTTTGCCACTGCTGCCCGCCTCTGCCAACATATTATGGCCTATTTTATTCATTCTAGAGTATATATATCATGTTTCTCTGTGCTAATTATATTGTTTATTATTCATATTAGATGAATTGTGTTAGATAAATAAGCGTACAGTTATAATAGCATCAATTCAAGTATTTTTTTCTTGTCTCTCCAGAGTGCAGGAACGAATTAATTGCTTTTCAGTTAATTTAAATGAGGAAAATTAACTTGATATACAGTAAATTGAGTTACGAGGGTAGCTCCTGGAATGGATTAAACTCGTAAATCAAGGTTCCACTGTATTGAGATGTATATAATTAATATCAAATGCTTTATTGCTTGTGTTGATGAAGTAACAAGAAATCTAAGTATAAATATCTTTTAAATTTAACCATTTTAATAATTACAGTGGACCCCCACATAACGATCAGCTCCCAACTCGACCAATTATGTTAGCGTATTTTTGTAAATGCTTTTGTAGGTGTATTTTTAGGGGTCTGAAACGGACTAATCTAATTCACAATATTTCTTATGGGAACAAAATCGGTCTATAACGGCACCCAAACAGACTTCTGGATTGAAATAATATCGTTATGCGGGGGTCCACTGTACTAGTATGGGTATGTATAATTATATAAAATAATATTGGCCAATTATTCTGTCAGATTCTGGAAGCAAGGGTATTGGCGCAACCATTTAGCAGGCAGAAAGTACCACATTTCTGCACTCTTTGTGGTGGACCTAAAGAAGTTCCGCCGAATTGCTGCTGGAGACCGTCTACGAGGCCAGTACCAGGGCTTGTCACAAGATCCCAACTCTCTCTCCAACTTAGACCAGGTGAGTGTATTGTGTTACTAGATAAGGACTTCATAACTTTTCAGAGTAGGTTTATTTGAAGCCTGTGTTAGAGTAGCTGACCATCATCAGTATTTAAGCCATTCTAGATTTTGATGCTTCTGTCAAGGTATCCTTGGTTGAAAACTATCATAAGTGGTTAAGTTTTTCTAAGCATGTCCTGCCAGTGCTGCATCACCTTAATGTAGTGGTGGGGCTTGAGTGGCTTTACATGACTAAGAATCCACCAACCCTTTTTTTTTTTTTTTTTTTTTTTTTTTTTTTTTTTTTTTTTTTTTTTTTTTTTTTTTTTTTTTTTTTTGCATTCATTTTAGGGATTAGTTGCAGTGCTAAAGTGGCTGTCTGATGCTGGAAGTACCATTGGAGGGTCACTTGTGGTTCTCAAATGATATGACTTTAGCATTCTTTTCTGTTCATCTGTGCCCATTACTAGTGCAATACTGCTAGTGCCTCTGGTGTTCTTAGTCAAAATAGGCAGTTTTGCTAATCATTGTACTACTAATTCCAGAAAAGTCATCCTGGTGATGTGCACCGGGATGGTGCACAGGAAAGTAAAGCCTGCTTGTCATGTTGGTTAGGCGTGTAGGGACTAATGACAGGGTAGTTATCTCTTATTAGTGGATCAGACATATCATTTTCTTTCTTTTTGACATACTTTGTTTACTACTACTACTTTCAGCAGACTGGCCATATCCCACTGAGGCAGGGTATCCCAGAAAGAAAAACAAAAGTTTCTCTTATTAAATTTAGTAACTTATACAGGAGAAGGGGTTACTAGCCCCTTGCTCCCAGCATTTTAGTCGCCTCTTATGAAACGCATGGCTTACAGAGGAAGAATTCTGTTTCACTTTTCCATGGAGAACTTTGTTTACTTATCTCTTCCATTTTGCAAATTCAGGTGTGCTGGTTTATACACCAAAGTGACTACCCATAACATCTCTTGCACGGAAAAGGACGTTAAAAATGACTTGGAGCAAGTCTCTGGCAGATGGCTGCCTCAAAAATTACCTGGATTAAGTCTCTGGCTGCAAGGGGCTAGTAACCCATTTTCCTGTATACATTTCTAAAGTTAAAAAGTGAAACTTTTGTTTTTCTTTTTGTGCCACCCTACTTCGGTGGGATATGGCCAGTTTGTTGAAAGAAAGAAAGAAGTCTTTGGGCTGACTTATGGCTCAAAAATGACTTGGAGAAAAGTCCTCTGCCAGTCATCTGGCTTAAAAGGCCAAGAATGAGTGAGTCTTAAGGTTCAGTATTCTTTTGTTGTATCGTGGTGGATGCAGAAATATTGACAGCTTTGGGTAGGGCTGACCAAGCATTGGTTTTCTACCATAAATTGCAAGGCTTCAGCTTTGAAACTTTTGCAGCTAATGCATCTGTGATTTTATATTTTTTTGTGACCTGTTGGCAGGAGGTAAATGTGTCTTTAATCACTCTCCTTGTGGATGTGTCTGAGCACTGATTCAGATGGAGGCAAGTGAGCAAGGGTTGTTTGAGAGGTACATGCCAGTATGTTTGACAGTACAAGAGCATTTTAAGTGTGCATTACCTCACTCGGTATTGCTTCTCTGGATTCATGAACACTAGAGTGAGGAAGACAAATGTGATCTCTTCATGGCAAATAAAGAGGAAGGTGAATGCTTTTTGGTAAATACCAATTCCCTAGTCCTCATATTTGATTGGCCTTGTTCAGTTACATTTGAGAAATTCCTTGAATTAATTCTTGGTTAGGCAGGCTCTGTTGCTTACACTGGATACTGGGATTGGATATTTATCAATAGTTCATAGACCCTTGAGTGTAGATTGTCATGTTTGCTGTATGAAAAAAGTACTCTGTGATGGGTTTGATGAAGCAGTGTCCTCACCTTGTCACCTGCTTCACAACATGTTGTAGTGCAAGGAAGCACAAGTCACAGCAAACATACGACTTCCTGGGCAAAGAGTTATGAGTCTTGTGTTGTAGAGCTTATATAGGCTGATTACTTTTTGTTTCATGGAACCTGACCATAGACAACAGTTTTCCATACTTCAGAATGGTATGTTATTTCATAAAGCGTGGAAGGATTTTTGAGTTTTAGTGCTCTATGAATATTTAACCTTTTTATTTTATCCCCTTCTCTTTACTCTTTTATTTTTTTTTTTTAATTTCATTTATGAGTTTGTCCTAACTGCAAGTGGTGTGAGTATTTTTTTCAGCATTTGCTAGATCCAGGATCCTGTTTTTTATTCAATGATTGTTTTAGTTTATAATTTACCTGGTCACTTGATATCATTACTTTGTATTTGTTTCAGGATCTTCCAAACAACATGGTACATCAAGTGCGTATAAAATCCCTCCCTCAAGACTGGCTTTGGTGTGAGTCTTGGTGCGATGATGAATCTAAGAAAACTGCTAAGATTATTGATTTGGTAAGCCAGATGTGTGCCTACTCTGTTACTTGTATCAGGGTTTACTACATATAATAGAAATCTCTAACTTATAAATAATAATAATTGATGATGAGTTTAATTTTTCAAGAGCATTCTGGTACTTAACCCCTTGAGTGTTTAAAAACCCCCTTTTCTCAAACTTGTAATTGTGCCCAAAAAATTTAAAAAAAAAAAAAAACTTTTGAAATGAAAAGGAATCTTTTTTTTTTGAAGGTAATAAAACCCAAAAAGTTCAAATTTTTTTGAGGGAAAAAACTTATAAAATTTTTCCCCATCTCGCTAAGAAAAAGGCCCTTGGGGGAATTTACGTTTGGCCCATTTTCCCTATTTTAACCCCTATTTTGGGGCCAATTCCTTTTTTCCCTACTTGAAAAAAACCCCCCCAAAATACCCTATTTCGTAGAACCCTTTTATTCTGTTGTTTTGAGTACAAGAAATGCCCCATTCACAATTTTTTCAATACACAAAAAAGTGATCAGAAATTGCTAATTAGCCTTTTCCACAAAAAATTTTCAAGAAAGGCCATTTTCCAAAATGGGGGCCCAGAATAAACAAGCGGGCTTTATACGGTGGAACCTCTATTTTAAGATTTTTAATCTGTTCCATAAACCTTCTTGCAACGGATTTGTTTCGTTTTTGCAGAGTCAATTTTCCTCCCCCCAAAAAACCCCTTAAACACCCAAAACGTTATATACGTTCCACTACCGTACTCCCCCAAAACTTTTTTGAAAAAACAAAACATTTTTGGGTTTTTAATGGGAAAAAAAGAGCATTTTGGTACCCGGACCCCTTTAATTATTTTAATATGGTGAACCATTTGATGCTCACACCCATTCTTCAAAAAGTCTGGGGCGACTCAGGTTATGTGGCAAATTTTTTAATGTAAGCCACAAAAAAATTTATATAACTTTTGGGGGCCCACTAGCGGTGAAAACTTTAAAAATACGTTTGGACATTTTTTGGGGTTTAAAAATTAATTAAAAATGGAATTAATTCGTTCCAGTGGAATTCCGGGGCATGGAAAAAAATACTTTTTTTTTAATTTTTCCCAAATTATCCCCTCCAACAGCTTATTATCTATCAAAATTCATGTAATATGACTTAAAAAACCAATATTAAAAACATAAAAAACATGATATATACCTAGAAAGAAAAAATATATGCCATTAGGTATGTGGCTAGGGGTGGTGACAGCACCCCTTGGGGTTTTTTGGGGGTTTTATAAGGCCCCCCAACAGCAGCCATTCCTACTCCTAAACAAACATGTGTAGAGAACCTAAAATTTTAAAACCCAAAAAAGTCAGATTTGACGAAAGTGCTAAAATTTTTAATCCCTTCCCCTTAATTGCTACACTTAATTGCTCCCACTCTTAATGCTACTGCTGCTTCTTGTTGTTGCCACGCAAACCTCATGATGTCTGCCCTGCAAACCTAATGATTTTTCCCACTTTTTCCCTCATGTTGCCCTTGTCACTGTTGTTTCCCATGTTGTCTGTCAGTGCTGTTTTCTGTTGGTCGGCCCACGGGCCTGCTTCTTTTTGCCCTGCCCACTGCGCTTCATTTTGGGTCTGTCATGCTCCCTTCATGTTGTTGCCACTGTTGCTTCATGTTGTCTGTCACTGGCTTTCATTTTTTGTCTGCCACTGCGGCTTCATGTTGTCTGTCACGGCTTCATTTTGCCCTCCCCTGCCACCTCTGATGTTGCCACTCCCCTTGCTTCATTTTGTTTTCCCCACTGCTCCCCTCATGATGTTCCCACTGATTTTGCCAAAGAATCAAAAAATTTTTTGATATTTTGGGCCCAAATTTTTCTCAATTTTTTTTGTAGTTTATCTTCCATTCCTTTCACATAAAAACCAAAATTTTAAAAAACGAGTTAGGGCAAACCGCGACGGCTGGAGTTTTGAAACTCTATGACCGGGGGTTAAAATTCCCGGGGGGGGGGCCCCCGGGGGGGTTAAAAGGGTTTTGGGTTAAAAAAAATAAAAAAAAAAAACCATACGTAAATATACCGCTAAGGGGGGGTTTTAAGGGCTGAGAAGTGAACTCCGTTATTTAAGGGTCCGTTTTCCCCTTTCTTTTTTTGGTGTATGTTAAGAAGAAACCCTTTTCCCACCCTTAACTTTCCCCCAAGGGTTTTAAAAAGATAGCCCCAAAAAAACAACGAAAACCAATTCCCAGGACCCAAGAGCAAGAGCACCCCTCTCCAGTGTAAATTTAAAACCCCCCTTTGGGCCCCTGCTCGCTTTTTGGAAATTTTGTTGGGCTTTTTGGAAGCAAAGAATTGAGGAGCAGCTGGCCCGTATATAAAAAAACCCCGCCCCTTTTGGGAGGGGGGGCATTTTTTCCCGAAAAGTAGAGGTTCCATTTGTATTTGCAATACAGGGGCCCCCGACTTTTTGGTCACTCCCAACTCGAGCAATTTTTGGGGAAGTGTATTTTTGTAATGTTTTTGAAAAGTGAAATTTTTTGGGGGTCTGAAAGGACTAATTTAATTTTTACAATTTTTCCCCTTATGGGAGAAAATTGTTCGGTAAGGGCCCCGAAAAGCCTTCTGGATTAAATTAAAAAGTAAGTTTGGGGGCCCCACTGTAATTGTTTTTTAAAAATTTTTCAGTGCTTTTTATGAATGCATATTAGCCCACCAGTTGAAAATTTATTGTAATGTGACGTAAATTTTGGTTTACTCTTTTGAGCCCCAAATTTTTAAAGTTACTTTTAGTCAGAAAAACCCATTAAAAATCACCTCGTTTTGTAATAAAATCTTCCATTCTATCAATGAGCCCAAAGGGAAAAATAAAAATTTCAGTGTACCCCCGCATACCGATTTTAATCCGTGCAAGGGGGGTCATTTTTTTGGGGGAAAATAATCGGTATGCGAATGTTTTTTTCCCCCCCCAAAAAAATTTAAGGGAAAATCAAATTAATCCGTGAAGAACCCAAAAGTTAAAAAAAAAAAAAATTTTTTACCACTAAAATTTTTAAATTTTTAATACACAAAAAATTGAAAAAGGAATCCACACTTCCTGACACTTACTTTTTTTTGAAGATCTGGGGGAATTGATTGGGGGATGGGAGGGGGGGAGAGAGAGTTTTTGGGTTTAGAAGGGAACCCCCTTCCTTTAAAAATTGAGGTGTCAAATCCTTTTCGGGGGTTTTCTTCCCTTCTTCTTTTAATCCCACTAGGACCAGTTTTCAGGGGTTCCGGGGGACTTTTTTCGCAAAACCCAAAATCTGTCCATAGTGGCCTGTCCCTCTTTTTCCCTTTTAAATGATTCCCTAAAGGGTTTAAACAACTTTGGGCGTGTAAAAACACCAGCACGGTTTTTGCAATAGTGTGTGGGGGGTGATTCTAAATCCATAAAGGTTTTGCATTTAAACCCAAATTGCACAGTTTTTCCTTAATCTTTGTAGTGGGCAACTTCTTAAATTTTCTCCCCTCCCCTCCCTAAACCCCTTTTTTTCTAGGTCTGGCCCCCTTCCCTCTTGAAGTTGATCTATAGCTCATCAGGGGTTTTGTTCTTCATTGTCCTCCTCCACCACTCTTCCACTCCCCCCCACAAAACCTTTCCAACCCCAAGGATTTTCCCCAATGCCACAATGGTTTCCTCATTTGGCAAAAATCCTCTCAGGATTAGCCTAAAACCCCCCTTCAAAACCCCCTTTTTTGCCTCCCACATTTGGCCCATTTTTCTTCCAAGCAGAGTTAAAGGTCTTCTTACCCCCTCCCTCCCAACCCTTAAACCTAAAAGGGTTTCCCACAATTGAGGTTTTAAAAAGTGCTCTCTCCAAAACTCTTTTAGAGTAAATTGAGTTTTTTGGTGGTCACTACAAAGCACCTTTCAAACAGAGCTTTTTTTGTACAGTTTCTTGAAGTTTGCAAAAAACCCTTTGCTGGCCAGGGGCTGCGGGAGGGGAGGGGGTTTTGGGAGGAAAAAATTTTGATTTTAAAATTGAATTTTCCCTGTTCCCCTTAAAGTGGGCCTCTGCCAAAATCTGTGGGAAATGCCAGGGGCATTGTCAAAACACCGGAGGCACTTAAGTTCTAATTTTTTTTTTCAGTTAGGTAACTTTCACTTTGGGGGGCAAATGCATGGTGTAACCATCATAAAAAAACCCCTAGTGACCCAAACCCTTACTTTTTTGCCCCCCACAGCACCACAAATTTTCCTTGAGGCTTTTTCCTTTTTTGCCTAAAACGTTTTGGGAGTTTCAGATGATACACTAAAAAGGTTTAACTTTGCAATCACCAGTAGCTTTGGAAAAAACTTTAAAACAAAGTAAACCTTTTGCCCTTTCTTTAGGCTTATTTCCGGGGAGTCCCTTTTCCTCCCTGAAATGTAGGTCCTGTTTGGGCCTTTTTTTTCCCAAAACGGGCCTGTTTCTTCAAAATTAAACACTTGTTCAGGTTTTCGGGCCCCTTAAATTTATCTATGTATTTCCTTTTGAATTCATGCAAAATTTTTTTTCACCCCTTTTGGGGCCCAAACCCGGGGGGGCGCCTCCCAAATTGCCTTATAAAACTATTTAGCCACTACGTTTTTAAAATCCCCAAAAACCAACCTTTGCGGGTTTAAAATTTCCCACTAAACATCGCATTTGGGTTGCAAAATTTTTTTTAATTAAATCCTCATGCAACCCCCTGGGCCTTTTTTTGCTTATAAACCGCTTGAGGGGAGGGCATCCCTGTTTAGCTTTTTTTCATTTATCCACCCAATAAGGTCTCCCCAAAATCTTCCATCACTTGCGATCTTTTTTTTCGAAAACACATTTAAAATTTTTGGGCAAAAAAAAACAGTTTCCCTTGATTGCCTTTCGGGTCCCCCACAAATAAGCCCAGGGGGGAAAAAGGGGTTTCTTTTTAAAACCCTTCCGGGTCGGGGGGATACCCCACTCCCACTTTATACTTATCAATGTCTCTTTCTTCATTTTTTTAAAAATTTCCCCCCCCCTTTATTGGTGTAGGGTTGGCCTAGAAGTTTTTTGGG